GTTATTACCCAGCAGAAGTTAATGGAAGTCTTATCAGCCTTTGCTGCTACAACACACTGTATTTGATTTCAGACCTGTGCGCTCAGGCTCACTCTGCCATTCTCTAAAGTTTTCTTGTTTTCCTCCTAAAATCCTTCTGCATGTCAGATGTCCATCACTGTGATAAAAAGAAGTGAGCTTGGTGCAGGGCCTAGAGAAAACCAGTTTTCACTTCCAGAGGATCTTGAATACAGGGGCTTGTTCTGGTTTGTGTGGAGGTTTGATGGACTTACTTTTTACTGGGTCATTTTGCTTTTCTGGTGCTTTCTTTTCTCCCCGTTTTCCCCTTATGGACTTCCTTAGGGAAGCACTCAAGTGCTTTTTCTAGCTCAACGAAGGCCATATAGAGCTTTTTATTCTTTTCTGTAATTGTCTTGATAATATCTCATGATTTTTGCACTCTTCTAAATACACACTGGTCATCACTGCCCATCTGTGGGCCCACCCCCTTGAGCAGGGCATTGACCAACACCAACAGCTCAACATTGCAACAGTACCCCACCTGAGACCCTCCACAACCCCATCACCATTCCCCCAGTCCCCCATGTGCACAAACCCTTTCAAAGTCAGAAATACACTGCAACTATTTGCACAAGAACCAGGGGGAAAGAGAGAGGGTCCTTAGGGGTGGAAGAAACACGAGGAAAGGAGACGCAGGGAGGAGGAAATCGGGGGTTGGCAGCCCCTTGGCCCTGAGCCTGGCCTCAGCCCTGTGTGCCACCATCCTGTGTGCAGAGGCCATGCTGATGTGGCTGGGGCCTTGGCTGCTCTGTGGGGGAGGGCACGTGCTCTTCAGAGGCAGATGCTGCAGCTTTGCCCAGGACTAGGAATGGAGGAGTTGGGTGGCACCCCTAGATGACTGCAGCGGTCCGGTGGGGCCTGCCGGGGTGCCAGCTGAGCTACTGGACAGGCAAAATGCCCACAGCTGGGCCCAGGGCAAGGATGGAGTCCAGGACCTGCTGTGACACCCTGCGCTTCTCCGGGATGGCATCATCTGTGGCTGTAGGGCCACTGATTCTGGCCAGCTTCTCATAGGGGAGCATGGTGGATTGCCACACCCCCAAGCACTGGTTGGCATCAAGTACAGTATGACACTGCCTGCTCAATGCCATGTTTTGGCATCCCCCACTTGGCCATCTGTGCAGCAATCTCTTGGTTAATATGTTCGGTCTGGGGTCCCTGGGTGAACTGCTGCAGTGTAGCCTCCTGGCCCCAAATGGCGGAGAAGTGAGGAACCTCTTTGGGCTGCCAGCTGGGTCCCCGTGCAGGCTCCTGCAGAGGTCCTGGGGCTGCTTGCCAGAGCCCCGGCTTCGGTGGCCAAGGCTCTGGAGCACCGTGCCACGTGTCCAGCTTGAAGGCAACCCAGCAGGCCCTGGGTGCCTCTCTGGGGCCAGGACAGGCTTTCCATGCACTGCAGGCTCAGCAGCAGGCAGCTGCTAGCCCTGCCATGCTTCTGGTGGATCCCTGCATGGCACACAGTGGGCTGGAGCAGCAGGGGCCAAATAGACCAGTAGAGAAGCCTGGCCAGAGCATTGCTTTAGAGGACCAGGCCTCCATTTGTGTCAGTGCATGCTATTTTCGCGGTCCTTGCCCTGCTTTTTTTTTTTTTTTGTCTTCCCCAGTTCTCTCTAGTATTTTGGGAGTAGCCCAAAGCCATCTAGTAGTACTCTGTGTTGGGCCATTAGGCTCTCACAAGATACCATACTCTTGCTATGGTGGTATCTCTGGCTGCTTGCAGATGTTAAAGAAAACCCAACCCTCCATCCCCACCAAAAAAGCGCTTTAAACTCCACGCGCTCTCACACTGAGCCCAAAAAGAAAACGGGGGTGTGCCCAGAAGAGGCAGCGCGGTAGTGGGATTGGCCTTGCCCAATGGCTGTATAGGTCAGGATTTTTTACTGCTTTCATCTTGTAGCTGATTGACTCAGCTTTAGATAACAGCATGAAAAAAGCCCCATTGAAGCACCTGATCTATATAAAGGCTTTTTTTTTTTTTTTAACATCTACAAGCAGCCTCTACTTCTAGTCCTGGTGCAATTTATCTGTATGCAGTGGCCCTTACTTTTAGATGTGACTGTAGCTAGGGTTGTCCTTGTTTTGGGAACCTCTGTAAATCAGTTCCACGATCTGGGATTTCATGTGCTGTAAAACGTGTCTCACTCTTCTTCTTTCCATCTCCATGACTGCTATGAATTTTGTCATAAACCCTATGGTATCTGCCGGTTTGTTCACTCACATCTGAACTGAGATCATCCTGCCATTGGATGGGATGATTGCTTTAGTTGCATCTACAGTTCTTACAAAATCATCTTTTTCTGGTGCCCTGGTGATGAGGAATTACACTCTCTTCCAGAAAAAAAAGTTTCACTGTGAGCCATCTGTCATGGATTTGTTTCAGCGTCATGAGTCCTCACTTTAAACCTTCACTGAGAATAAATGACTTTCTCCTCCTTTGCCTGGAATTACATAGGTAAGATAAATGCTATCTATCCATAAGTGTGTCCAGTGTCCCCTAATTTTGGTACCTTGAAAACTAGCAAAAGCTTTTCTGCTTTCTAGTACCTCACAGATCACTGCATCCTCACCCTTGTCCTTCGGGACTCTGAGTTTTTTGTTCTTTTTTTGATACTTCAGAATGGTTCGTGCTTTGTTCCCTATGAGCCTCTCCCCACCACCTGGGTGACAAGGCCCATCTACTGAAGGCTTCTCCTTGCGGTGCCTTCCTTTCATCCTAAACGTCCACCCTCCCTTGTCCTTCAAGGCCCCAGTAGAACCCTTGAGTTCACGGGATCCATTCCCCAAATACCAGTTTGTTCTTGTCCATCCAGTACCCAGTCACAAACCCTCTTTAACCACTGCCCCAAACAGGATATGGAAGTCCCACACCTGACTTAATCTGCTGCATCCAGCGAGGAGAGGTGGAGCTCTGGGTGTGTGAGGATGAGGACGGTGGGGAAATCTCAAAGTCGGAGGACCTGCTGCCAGGTGAGTTGTGGCCGTCCCCTTCGCCCAGCTCCCCTCTCGGAAATGCTTCATCCCCAGGCTGACAGGGGGCCTGCCCTGTGCTGACCTCAGATACCTTCTGCTGTGATGTGTCCAGGCAGGTGTTGTTCCCAATCCCCGAAATTCCAGGCTGGAATCCAAGATCCCCCCAATTACAGCTGTTAGGGAACAATTCAATTTTCTGTCTTGATTTTTAGGCACAGATCTGGTTTCCCTCAGACACCATGATCTTAAATTGCCATCTTCGCTCACCATTGTAGGAGTTGATTCTGCAGCCCAAGGTAGCCATACCTCTTTCACACCCTCTCCCAGGGCATAATGGGATGTGTAGTCCCCCATGGAAATCAGCATGGCATGCAAAATCCCTGTGTAGCCCTTACTGTTGGACAAGAGAGAGGCTGGGGCTGTCCCAGGTGTCTCCTGATCAGGTTGACCTGGAACCCAGGAGGGGTTTAATCATGGTCTTACACCGCATTAAATGGCTCCATGGGGTGGGTGGGTTTCACAAGCTTTCCTGTTGTGGAGGAAATCAATACCCCCTTTCTGTTTCCTCCATGGAGCCCTGAGTGTCTGAGAGACAGACTCAGCACAGAGTCCATGTGTAGGTTCATACCAAGGCCTTAGTCCCGGTGCACATGAAGGCCATTTCTGTGATGTGGAGGCCACCTGAGCCTCCTCAGTAGAGGAAAGCTTCATGGGCTCATTCATTGCACCAGACCTCACCCTGGAAGCAGGCAGGAAGCACAGCCCTGCTCCTTTCAGGAGAGAGAGCCTCCCAGAACATTTCTTGCAGGGAAGAGGAAAAAAGTGTTGTCTTTTCCTACCAAGCAGAAGCAGCACTTGTGTGTGCCACATAAGCAGCTGGTCCAGTGGAAGGAAACGCTCCCCTCACTCCCCTGACTGCTGACAAGCCTCAGACATCCATCACAATGCTGTTCACCCTTGTACCCAGATACTAGTCCCAGGACTGATAGATATCAAGGGCAAGCACTGGAGAGCAGTCTCACCAATGCACTTTGGCTTCTGGCACATGTCAGCCCAGCCAGGTTGGGCATCATCTCCACCTGACCCACCAGTGATGTGGGGTAAAGCAGCTATTAACGACCTCCATACTCCATTTAAGATGTCTTGGGTCTTGTCCTCAGCCTGTTAGAGAATGAAGCCACATAGGCCCTGTAGTAAGACACTTTTCCCACATGTTTCAGGGGTATAAGTCCTCACCGTGTTGGTTTAAGGACATAGGCAGACAAGGTTCTTTGGATAAATCTGATACCTTTTATTAGACCAACTCAGATAGTTGGAAAAATTCTTCTCACCCACTGACTCTCAATGTACATTTTCACTGACTGGCTTTCTCACATGCAGACCAGCCTCTGGCTTCTTTATTATTCCGTCTAGGAAGAGCTACAGGCCAACTGCAGACACTTCCTCAGCCTGACGAAGGGCACTTGTACCCAGAAGCTTGCAAAGAAGAATTTTTCCAGCTATTTGAGTTGGTCTAATAAATTATATCGGATTTACCCGAAGAAACACAAGTGCCGAGGTCCAGTCCTGCTTGAAGGAATAGCAGAAAGAATTGCAGAAGGAATAGCAATGTTGGTCCTTTGCCTGCAGGACAGGGGACTAATCTTGAGGTTTTGTTCCGTATGCAGGAGGTGGCAGGTCGCTGAGCAGAGCTGAGCTGAGCAGCGGCCTCCTGAGGAAGGGTCTGCAGACCTGGAGCCTCCACAGACTTCCCCGGGGATTTTGGGTGAGATGGACTTCCTGCGATCTGAGAAGGACCAGTGGCCAGAGTCAGCAGAGGCCCTCAAAAAAGAAGGAAAATGTAGCAGTGAACCAAGTACCATCTTCAGTTGGGCATGAGAGTGGAGAAGGGACAGAATCCAGAAAGAGTCCAGGGTGCAGGGAAGAGTTTGGGGAGCAACCCTCCAACCTGGCCAGGCACAGGTGCATGCACGCAGGGGAGAAGCCACATCAGTGCTTTGAGTGTGGGAAGAGTTTCACCCAGTCCTTCAACCTGGTTGAACACCGGCACATCCACACAGGGGAGAAGCCGCATCAGTGCTGGGAGTGTGGGAAAAGCTTTACCAGCTTCTCCAACTTGGCCCGGCACCAGCTCATCCACACAAGGGAGAAACCACATCAGTGCTCTGAGTGTGGGAACAGCTTTGGCCACTCCTCCTACCTGGTCCAGCACCAGCACATCCACACCCAGGAACATCCATAATAGGCTCTGGAGGTGCAGGAAAAAGGACATTTATGAGTAGGGAGCATTCCCTGCCCTCCACCCTGACCTTGCCTCCCCCTCCACTGCATAACCCATCTCCCAGGCCTGCTCATGCTTATCTGGTGTCTGCAAGGAGCTGCTACTGTCAACCCCTCAGCCAGTTTGGTAGGTTTGGCCTCTCTCCAGAACTCTGCACCACTGTGTACCTGGTGCTCCCCCTGCCATTGGCAGTGCGTAGGGGGTGCATGCAGGTGCACATGCACCCCCTGAGATTGGCCATGCACCCCCTGAAAGCACCAGTCTCGAAACTGGAAGTGCCGGTGGAAGTGCACTTCCGGGTTCGCCAGTTTTGCTGCTGGTGGTTCTGTGCTCGGCAATCAGCCGCTGGGGGATGTCCCCCCTCAGTCAGTGATCAGCTGTGGGGGGACCCCCGTTAGTGATCTGGTGCCCCCCCAGACTCGAGAGGCACCAGTCGCCCTTGCGGCCCCCGCCCTTCTTCCCTTCATTGCATTATCTATAATGTAATGCATTTTCTGCTAAAAAAAAAAGACACAGAACTGAACAAGATACCCCTGTGGTTGATCTCTGCATCCTCTCCAGAGCTGTGCAATGGGAACAGACCAGGTCCAAGAACCCTTTCCAGGGCAGATCTCTCTGTGACTATCCAGCCCCTTCCCTTTTCAGAGGATTCACCGTAATGCAGGGCTTGTTGCTAGCCCTTGGGCATAGGAGTTGGTTACACTGGAGAATAGGTTCAGGTTAGAGACTAGGAGGCACTATTTCACTGTCAGGGTAGCTAGGATCTGGAACCGACTTCCTAGGGAAGTGGTCCTCGCTCCTACCTTGGGTAAATTCAGAAAGAGGTTGGATGAACACCTGTCTGGGGTCATATGATCCCAGCGTGTGCTCCAACCAGTGGCAGGGGGTTAGACTAGATGATCTATTCAGGTCCCTTCTGACCCCTAACTACTATGAAAGTATGAAACTATGAAACACTCGAGGCATTACTCCCATGTCTCGCTGTCCAGGAACGACCCAGCCCTTTTGAAGGAACATCTGGCCAGGAGGCCATAGGCCTTTTGTAGGTGAAATGGGGTAGCAGGAGTGAAGGAGATGCAGCCTGTGGAAGTTTCTGCCCCTCCCGTGGAAGGTGGGGTGGTGGGGCAAAGCATGTGGACATCCTTTGGTTGAAATGCAGTGTTTTGTAATCTTCCATTGAAGTTGGATACTTTCAGCTACAAGTCTCAGGGTGTGCATAGCTGCATTACACCAGGTGTGTGTGGAGGGGGGGTGATCTGAGTTGGTCTTCACCAGCAGCCTGGGGCCGAGCCAGGCTGGAGCAGTGCAGCTGCCTGTGCCCTTCACTCCCGCACTAGCCTGCAGGTCCAGGGGGGTTCTGGGGCTACCCCTGATGTGGGCATCTCTTATGGGATGGCTGCAGATCTCAGCCAAGTGATTAGTGGGCAGATGCCCCAGGATGGCTTGGTAGGGCGATGTCAAGTGCTGATCATAAGAGGAGGGTCCCTGTCACTCATTTTATGGTTTACCCTATCACAGAAACCCCCCAGGATGCAGAATCTGGGGGGAAAGTGCTGTGGACATGGCTCTCTTCACCCCTAATAGACCTTCCCTGCCTTTGGTTCTTGGCTCTGTCCTTGACCCATTCTCCAATATCCCCTTAACCCAAAAAGCCTTCTGCTTCCTTCAATACTGCTCTCAGAACAAAGTTTCAAGAGCAGAGCCCTCCAGCCTGACCACAAGGAGGTCCCTCTTTAGACCCAGGTTCCTAAACACAGCACAGTTTATCTCCAAAGCAAAGCAAGCAGGGTGGTATCTACCCCCTCCCTTTCCCCATCAAAGGCAACAGTCAATTTTTACTGGGAAAAGTAAAGGAGGAAATATATACTCATCTTCACATGCACACACAGAGGACGAAACAGATTTCCATTTCCCAGGACCAGAAAGGAGCCCATGGCAACACCCAATGTTGTGTGGAGATGGGGGACCACCCTCAAGCAAGCCAAGACCTACACTTAAAAGCAGGGGTCAACACTGCTCAAGGGACCCAAGGGCTTCCTGTACCCCAGAAAGGATGAGGCTTGGCCATGCCTCCCAAATGGGTTCTTACCTTTTCCAGGCAGCCCAAAGGGCATAAAGCCTTAGCGGGCAGAGGCCTCCCACCTGCTGCACAAGGCAGGCCATGCTCTGAGAGCCTTTCCTTATCCATTACCACATTGCTCATCACCACTGGTAGCACTTTCTCACCATTGGTACTCACGTGCTGGAAACCTGGAGAGACACCAAGGAAAAGCCTATCTCAAGTGCAGTTGCAGCAGCTGCTGTGCAAAGGGATCTATCCCACAAACTCCAGGTTACTGCCCCATACCATGGAAGCGTAGGGCTCCTGGAGACGTGCAGCAAGGCTGCTCCAACGTGCTGTAAATCCAGCGTGTCAGAGCAGACTCAATGAATAGAGTCTGCTGGAGTGCAGAAATTAACTCTGATCAAACAAATTGACTGTGCTCAGCAGTTTGGCTGAGTGAAAAGTTATTCTTTTCTTTCAGAAAAAGCAAAGTAAATGGTGCTGAGTACTTTATCCTCCTCCTCAAAGTCTGCCATATGCAAGGTACTGAAACAGAAGATGGCAAGTGGTGAATACTTAATGGACACAGTATGGAAGAGAGGTTTACGAGGGGTACTGTGAAGCTGCCAGTCTTTAAAACGACAATATCTATGAGAGCAGAAAAATATCTGAACTGACTGATTTGATCTTGTTGCCAACAATTATATTACCTGCATATTTAGCACTGCTGTGACCACTGCTGGGTCCAGTCCTGGGATCTACAGGGCACCTTAATGAGTCACTCACTCAGAAAGATGACTGAAAGCAATAAAGGCACCTTAGAAAAGTGCCTGCTTTCTTACTTTTTTTCAGAAAGAAGAATAGTGTATATTTACTATGCAGATAAAAATTTGGAGAGTTTTTTTTTATTCCTCCTGTCTAGTCTATAGACATTTAAATTAAAAGTTGCAACAAATGGGCACCTATACACATACCCAACACATGGTTTGACGTGTTTTAATTACAAGGCATTGGAGCAGACTCAGTCAAAACTGCCGGAGCATCTCTGAGCACTTTTCAGAGCTGGGCCTATGAACTGCACTTCATCAGCCTCCTGGGTAGTAGGTACGGAAACTCATGGACTCAATATAGATTAGACAGTGGAGTTCTGGCACGCTGCAACTGGCCGGACATCTGACAGCCCAGGCACCTCTGCACTTTTACCTGTGTTGCTACATCCCCCTTTCCCCCCTCCCCCTCCCCACCCCAGCCTGTCCCTCCCCACAACCGACACCTCCATTTCCATTTTCACTGACGGGCTTTCTTGCCTGCATTGCATGCCAGGCCAGCCTCTGGCTTCTTTAATATTCCTGGCATCCAGGACCAACTGCAGGTATTTCCTCAGCCTGACAAAGGGGTTTTCAACCCTAAAGCTTCCAAAGATACATTTTTAATTACCATCTTTTTTCATAATAAACATATAGACATAAACACACAAGATAAGCCATCACACACCATGAGCAACATCATAGATCCAACACAACACAACATCCTTACTTCTTGCTGTCAATTCCTTTATAACGAGAAAGGCTCTGTGACCGTTCTGTGTGGGAACCTTTGATGCTGCTGGTGTCGAGCCAGCTAAGTTATTTTACCTGTTGTCACGTAAAGTGGACCGGCCCTGAGGCTGTAGGGGAGGAGGAGGCCTCACTGGGCACACTGCCGGGTTGTGCAGGGGCCCCAGAGGCAGGCGCCAGGAAGGGCGCACCTTAACACACACACAGTGTCACCCACCCACATCACAAGTTTTGCCTGTCAGCAGCCAGAGCTGCAGAGACCCAGAAGCCAGACTCTCCCTGCACCTATCTTCTTGAAACTTGGCAGGCTTTGTGGCCTCAGTAGGGCCCACCACCACTGCAGTTTTCACCCCCCTGTGGTGTAACACATACATGTGACATGAGTTTTGCTATCAAGAATTTGGGGTGCAGTTCCCCCCAGACCCCTTCTTGAAATTTGTCACACTTCATGCTCTCCACAGAGGCCACCATCCCTGCAAGTTTAACCCAAATCAGAGAAAAAGCAACAAAGTTATAGATATTTCATTGATCCCCCATTATACCCGATGGCCAGCTCTCCGAGGCGGCTCCAAAGCTTCAGAGTCGCTTCGGCTGGATCGAAGTGGCAAACTGATCCAGAGCTGCAGATCGGATGGATGCGCTGGAATTGCAACCCATCGAATCAGACTCAGTTAAATGAGTCTGCTGCAGTGTGACAATTGCTGGGCTCCAGCAGCCTCCTCCATCTCCTGTATCGACATCCCCGTGCTTAAAAATGGCATCAGATGTACTTGGACTAAAGCTTGGTGAACCAGCTTGAGCTCAAGCACTCTTAAAGCACCCTTTTTAAGTGCAGGGACGCTGATACAGGAGACAAAGCAGCACTTTAATTAGAGCAGCTCTCAGAGTTGCTCTAATTAAAGTCCTGCTCCCTCCACCCCCGGAGCACATGTAGAAGTGGCCCCAAGTGCCAGAGCACTACACCTCGGGGGACGCCACTGAAACTGGTAGTAGACAGGTTTAAAACTAGCAAGAAAAAGTACTTTTTAATGCAACGCATAGTAACTTGTGGGATTTATTGCCACAGATGTTGGTAGAGGCAGGTAGCACAGCCAGGGGCAAAAAGGAACTAGGCCAATTCAGGGATGAAGGATCTACTAACAGTGGTTGAACTTGACAGCTGGAGATGTTTCCGCTGACATATCCACCATCCAACGATGGTGGACACCAGGGAGGGTAACCAATAGGGGACAGATCACTCTAGATGCATCTGGTTCAATGTTCTTCCTATAAAGCATCCTATTTGTTGTGCCAGTGTAACAGTGGGCCTTTCAGCTTCCCTTATGTAGGGAGGCTTCTGGGGAT